TCTGGCCCGAAACGTCAGCCTTCCTGCTCCTCTGATGCTGCTTGGCCTGCTGTGTTCATCCAGCTCTACACCTTGTTATCTCTACATGAATGGTAGCATTTTTACTTCAGCATATGTTTCTCTAAATAATTAAACTTGGCAATTAATTCAACTTTACTGTTAATTAATCAGGAATCCCTGCTAAGTGCAACAAATTCTGGAGGGTAAAACACAGATTTATACAGCAACTTCCATTGTATCACATAGTTTTATCTAAAAGCATTGATGCTTGCATTAACAAATACGACTCAGTATTTGATTCTGTTGATTTATACTTTCAATACACCAATTTCTACTTCAATACATCACATTTAACAAAAGTCAATTATTTGAAGAACTCTGCAGTTTCTGTTCAGTTATTGAGGAAGCATGAGAATGAAACATTATGGCCAAAGCTCTGCAACTATTACATATTTACACACATATTGATTTATGAAGTATGCTTGGGATCCTAAAAACTGTGATCATAAACTATTCATTTAAATAATTTTCTGCCCCACTGTATGGGAATGCGTAAAAGTGTTTAAATCTCTAGGTTAAACGCAACAATTTTGGGATGATAGTTAAAACTATTTTAGTTTTCAAATTAATTATTTCAGAAAAAGCTTGTATGGTTAATCATTTGCAAAACAGAAAGACAAAAGTACATCTTCCCAAAAAAGAACTGAAACTTCCCATTTGTGGAATATTAGTTTCTCCTTCAGTTATGCCAATATTGTGTGACTCTGGCGTCTTGGATACATTTAGTGGCTCAAATGCAAACAGGACATTATTGCTGTAAGTGCAGGTAACTCTCTAAGGTAATCTTTTGCATGGAGGCAGATCTATGTAAATAAGCAATAGGGACTTCGGCAGACATAACTAACAGTGCGCAATCAATTGAGAACATTTTTGCATTGCGATGCTTTGGCATTAAACTGCGTTAATCAGTTATGTGCAAATTTTGACAGAAGAAAAATGATGCTAATTCACTTTTGCACCGTAATTACATCAAAAGATTCCAAGAAATTACAGGCTGCTGTGTTAACAACTGAGGATGTAACAGATATGTATGCATTACTGTCATCCACACCAAGTGAAAGAGTCATTTCATCTGACAGCCTGTGGATTGCAAAATATTAAATTACCAGTTGAGAAACATTAGCTTTTGGGTTAAATAAATGAAAGCTTCTTAAAGGAATTGAGCTCTTGGCAAACTGAAATGTCAATGCTGTGAATAATCACATTGCATACATTTGATCAATGAAGCATAAATGTCACCAGAAACATTATTTATTTTAAGGTATTACTTACAATGTATTTGGCCTTTTACAGCAGGAAATTACCAATCCATCAACTCAGTCAGCACATTCATGCATCTCGCTGCATCAATACTCTCTCCAGTCCAGATAATAAACATGTCCCTCACTAGTTTTGAATTCTACGCTTCCGTTTTGCAAATGATTATATCTATATTATTTAATTTCAAATATTTTTTCTGCTTAAGACAAGCTAGCTAATTAGTTGTATGCACATAAAAATGAGATAAATTGGTCTAAAATAGCACAAGAAAAATGCTGTCATAGCTGGATGCATAGTTACTTGATGATGCTTATACAGCAGCACAATTTTTCTCCTAAACTATATTCCTGGATTTGCAGAGCATGTGAAGAACAACGTAAAACAAGTCTAGGAATGGAAATGTATAAAGCTGGAAAGTTGCAATCAGTCCAATTACCTATTCTCAACTAAGAAGTGTGCCTTGTTAAGGTCTGAGATATGAAACTGAGTTTTATTAAATTAGGAACTGATGTACACTTGCACCGTCCTACATTGAAAATAAACTTTCTTACTTCTGTGATTGGTACATCATCCTTCAGTCCAGTTGTGTGGCACGCCAGTAAGCCAATCAGGCGAATCACTTTGGCACGACTGAAAATAAGAGAATGGGTGTTAATTTACTGAATTCAGAATGAAATCATACTAGCAATGTTGCCATTTCTCTAATACGTCGGCTTATAGCATTTTGTTTTCTTATTTTCAACTGGAAAATAAAAGCACCTTAAGTAATTTTGATTTACTTGCATTTTCCATGCGTTTAGTTTAATCAGAGTAAGTCAAAATAACTAGACATACTGAAAAGTCATGACATGTACTAAATTAGTTCATTTTCTGAAAAACACCATATAACTACATAAACTAATTTCGGACCATCAATTTTTAGCTGTGTTAATGACTGGCAGGAAGGATTCAAACTGATCTTTTTGCTATTCATTTTATTTTTGTCATTTTGGTTTCAAAATATTTTTGCATGATTTTTGCATTTAACTGCAGCTTTTAGCATAATAATTCTGGAGTTATTTTTACAGCCTGCCTGTATTAGACCAATGTTCCTTGTCAAATTTCAAGAGCCAAAATGGAATATAAGTTCAGAAAATATTCCTGGAGTCGTAGACAAATGACAAAACATAATCCTGCAAGTGAGGTCTCAAAAAATTCTTTGTGTTGAGACTGTCCTGATTCAGACATGATACTATAAAACTATACATGATGCAAAAAAACTAAATACATAGACCTTTCAACTGCAAATTATTACTGCCATCTTCTGGTTGAGCCCTGATGAAATGCATCCCACGGTACTAAAAGAGGTGATGGGGGAAATAGCAAATGCACTAGTAATTATTTACCAAAATTCACTGGACTCTGGGGTGGTTCCCACAGATTGGAAAACAGCCAATGTGATGCCACTGTTTAAAAAAGGAAGTAGACAAAAAGCAGGTAACTATAGGCCAGTTAGCTTAACTTCGGTAATGGGGAAAATGCTTGAATCTATCATTAAGGAAGAAATAGCAAGACATCTGAACATAAATTGTCCCATTGGGAACACCCAGCATGGGTTCATGAAGGGTAAGTCATGTTTAACTAATTTGGTGGAATTCTTTGAGGACATTACTTGTATGGTGGACAATGGGGAACCTGTGGATGTGGTGTATCTGGATTTCCAGAAGGCATTTGACAAGGTGCCACACCAAAGGCTGCTACATAAGATAAAGTTGCACGGCATTACAGGTAATGTATTGGCACAGATAGAGGATTGGTTGACCAGTAGAAAGCAAAGAGTAGGGGTAAATGGGTGTTTTTCTGGTTGGCGGTCAGTGGCTAGTGTGTGCCTCAGGGATCAGTGTTGGGACCGCAATTGTTTACAATTTACATAGATGATTTGGAGTTGGGGACTAAGTGTGGTGTGTCAAAATTTGCAGATGACACTAAGGTGAGTGGTAGAGCAAAGTGTGCAGAAGACACTGAAAGTCTGCCGAGGGATATAGATAGTCTAAGTGAGTGGGCAAAGGTCTGGCAGATGGAGTACAATGTTGATAAGTGTGAGGTCATCCATTTTGGTAGGAATAACAGCAAAATGGACTGTGTTTTAAATGGTAAAAAATTGCAGCACGCTGCTGTGCAAAAGGACTTCGGTGTCCTTGTGCATAAATCGCTGAAGGTGGGATTGCAGGTGCAGCAGGTAATTAAAAAGGCAAATGGAATGTTGTCTGCCATTGCTCAAGGGATGGACTTTAAAAATAGGGAGGCTATGCTGCAGCTGTACATGGTCCTGGTGAGGCCACACCTGGAGTACTGTGTGCAGTTTTGGGCTCCTTACTTGAGAAGAGATATAGTAGCACTGGAGGGGGTGCAGAGGAGATTCACTCGGTTGATTCCAGAGTTGAGAGGGTTGGATTATGAGGACAGACTGAGTAGACTGGGATTATATTCATTGGAATTCAGAAGAATGAGGGGAGATCTTATAGAAACATATAAGATTATGAAGGGAGTATATAAAGTGGAGGCAGGGAGGTTGTTTCCGCTAGCAGGTGAAACTAGGACTAGAGGGCATCGCCTCAAAATAAAGGGAAGCAGATGTAGGACTGAGGTCAGGAGGGACTTCTTCACCCAAAGGGTTGTGAATCTGTGGAATTCCCTGCCCAGTGAAGCGGTTGAAGCTACCTCGCTGAATGTTTTTAAGGCAAGGCTACATTTTTGAACAGTAAAGGAATTAAGGGTTATGGTGAGTGGGCGGGTAAGTGGAGCTGAGTCTCAAAGATCAGCCATGATCTTATTAAATGGCGGAGCAGGCTGGAGGGGCCAGATGGCCTACTCCTGCTCCTAGTTCTTATGTTCTTATGTTTTCAATTGAATTGAATGCTGGGTTACTCCAATTTTGACATCAGCCTGTTTTAGAAATTTTTATGGTTTGATCTGAAACTGTCCAGGATAATTAAATGAGTCCTTCTGGTCACTTCCATGTGGAAATTAAAATAAATTAACTCCTTAAACAAAAATTAACACCTTTCCTCAACACATCCAACTCGTCAACTCCCTCAATGGTTTCAAAAGCCTCCTAAAGTCCAATCTCAGCAATTCAGCTTTTGACATACTTTTTCATGTCTGTCCTCTCTTTCTTCATCATGCTCAGTGTCCACAACCCTGTAAAGTGCTCTGGACATCTCTATAAGTGAGGGGTGCACCAGAACTAGTAAATTAATACTCATACTATAAATAATCAAACTCCTTCCAGCAGCAACTCCTGAAGAGAAAGTGACTACTTTGAATGTCTGCATTTGTAAATGGCTCCAAACTCCTTCCAACTCTGGGAAAATCTAGGTCAAAAAAGTTCTACTCCTTTTCAGATTTTGAGTTCCTTAGGAAGATTACATCTAACTCTTCTTTAACCTACCGTAAACACGGATGCATCCATAGTGTTTTCTCAGAGCACTAGTGTCTATTCCCATTTCTAAATGTCTGTTGCCTTTCATTCTTCAATACCCAGATGTCCTTCCTACAAAAGTTAAATCAGGCGTTCTGAGGAAGGGTCACCAGACCCAAAACGTTAACACTGATTTTTCTTCACAGGTGGTGCCAGACCTGCTGAGCTTTGCCAGCAACTTCTGTTTTTGTTGTTGAGTCAGGCCAGTGTGGTTTGCACAAACTGTATGTCATTAGGTTCTTTTGTCCCTTGTCATTATCACTGCATATTGAAACAACAGTTGAAGGGTGTATTCTGCTAAAACCCACAAATCTTGTGGCATTTACTCTGTAAAATTTCCTTGCTTATGCTGTTCTCTGACTTATTTTATTCTTCACCTTTACATTTTCCCATATTATCCAACATTCCTGACTCATAACTCCCTGAAGTCACTTCACATCTTCCCTATTCCTCAAAACTTGGTATTATTGAGTTTTTTTTTTAAACTATTGCTTTCTCCAATCATTTAAATACATCAAAAAAAAATTGACACCTCACCCACCCTGAGGGGGAAAGTGAATAGAGTTATGGTGTTTGGGGGCACGATGAGGTTCTCCACCAGCCCCAGTGAATAAACAGGAGATAGGGAATGCAATAGGCTATATGCTACATCTTACGGGCTCCATCACCTTCAAACCCATCTTAAATTTCACCCTTGGTTATGTTCCTTGCCTTTGCCAGAGTACAAATTTTAAGCTCCCCCCTAACTACTCATGGTTATCGTTTCTTCACTAAATGATGACAAAGCTACTCCACTTGTAGGTTTCACGACCATCTGATTTACCTGTCATTCAACAACAACTTGTAGAAATAATGAGTCACTAATTCTGTGTTTGTCCAAATATTAAATGCAAAATGAAACCCCCATCACAATTTCATTAACACATCTCTTAGATTTGAGAATAACTAGCAGCACATGTAATCTTTCCCGACTTGGTAGTCTACAACAGACTCAATTAATCACTGCTTTTTCCTCTATTATTTCATCTAACTCAAAAAGTTTGCACTCTGCTGAAAGAAAATTATTCATGGACAAATGACTTGCTGACAACATTCATTTATATTATTATTCAAACATGTCCTCTAGAAAGCAAAACCATTGCATGCAGATGCTTTTAGCGGAAGATTTTTTTGAAATGGAAAATCACAATCGCCAGAGTTCATCCATTAGACGATCATAAAGACAAATCTTATCGTGGGATAAATTTAGTGTCACTTGTTACGGAAACAAAGTAAGATCATTTTTAACGTGAGTCAAGTAAAGTAGGTGATGGCCTACTGGAATTATCGTTAGACTATTAATCCAGAGACCCTGGTAATGTTCTGGGGACCTGCATTTGAATCCTACCATGGCAGATGGTGGAATTTTAATTCAACAATAATCTAGAATTAAGAGTCTAATGATAACCATGAAACCATTGCTGATTGTCAGGAAATACCCACCTGCTTCACTAATGCCCTTTAGGGAAGGAAATCTGCCACCCTTACTTAGTTTGGCCTACATGTGACACCAGACCCACCGCAATGTGGTTGTCTCTTAACTGCCTTCGAGCAATATATGCTGGTCCAGGCAGCAACACTCACTTCCATGAATGAATTTAAAAAAAGGGTCAAATTATAAATTTAGCTAATATGGTAGTTGCTTTTCTTATATTAATAAAAAGTTGTTTGCTTCTAAACTCTGTTTCCTGGAAAACTCATATTTGTTTTTGGTGCATTGATTGTTGTGTCAACTTATCAACTAAAATGGGAAAATAAGTAACTAAAATTTCCTGAATCCAGCAATGCAATACAACTATGAGAAACATTAAAAGAAAACCAGGTAAGGGTGGCAGATTTCCTTCCCTAAAGGGCATTAAAAGAAAAAACTGTTTGAAAAGATTAACATTTGCAGCAATCATTGCTGATAAAAAAATGTATATTATTCTTTAATCTGGTCATCCTGTAAGCAACTCTACTCTACGCTGATACCATTTTTGGAAAATTCATTTTCCTGGCATGGATAGAGGATTGGCTGACTGGTAGAAGGCAGCGGGTCGGGATAAAGGCGTCTTTTTCATGATGACAACCGGTGACTAGTGGAGTTCCACAAGGGTCCAAGTTGGGACCACTACTCAAAGATCTGGATGACAGAACTGACAGAATTTTGCTAAGTTTGCAAATGACACAAAGATACGTGGATGGGCAGGGACTGTTAAGGAAGCGAGCAAGCTGCAGAAGGAGTTGTACAGGCCAAGAGAGTGGGCAAAGTGGCAGATGGAATATATTATGCAACAGTGTGAGGTTATGCATGTTGGTAGGAAGAATAGAAACCTAGACTATTTTCTAAATGCGGAAAGGCTTTGGAAATCCGAAGTACAAAAGGACTTCAGAGTTCTCATTCATTTCTCTCTTAAGGTTAACATGCATATTCAGTTGGCAGTTAGGAAGGCAAATGCAAAGTTAGCATTTGTTTTAAGAGGGTCAGAATACAAGAGCAGAGATGTACTGCTGAGGCTACCTAAGGCTTTGGTCAAACTATATTTGGAATATTGTGAGCTTGTTTGGGCCCTGTATCTAAGGAAGGATGTGCTGGCCTTAGAGGAGGTCCAGAGGAGGTTTACAAGGATGATCCTGGGATGAAGGAAGTGTCATATTAAGGGCGTGCAAGGAGTCTGGGTCTGTAGTGTATGGAGTTTAGAAGGATGAGAGAGGATTTCAACTTTACAAAATACTGAGAGACTTGGATAGAGTGGATGCAGAGAAGATGTTTCCACTACGAGGACAGACTAGGTCCTGAGGACACAGCATCAGACAGAAGGAGTGACCCTTCAGAACTGAGATAAAGAGAAATTTCTTCAGCCAAAAGGTGGTGAATCTGTGGAACTCATTGCCACAGATAGCTGTGGAGGCCAAGTCATTGAGTGTATTTGAGACAGATATAGATAGGTTCTTGATTAGTAAGGGATCAAGGGTTACGGGGAGAATGCAGGAAAATGGGGTTGAGAAATATATGAGGGCTATCTAAGAGTTTTAGAGCTCTCAATCTGACCTAGTCCCATTTGCAACCATTTGCCGCATATCCTTCTAAACCCTTCGTACTTATATACCCATCCAGATGCCTTTTAAATGTTGTAATTGTGTTGGCCTCCCCTACCTCCTCTGGCAGCTCATTCCATTTAACACCACCCTCTGCATGAAAAAGTTACCCCTCAGGTCCTTTTAAAATTTTTCTCCTCTCACCTTAAACCTATGCCCTCTTGTTTGGATTCCCCCAACCTAGGAAAAAGACCTTGGCCATACACCTCATCCATGCCCCTCATGATATTATAAACATTATAGAATTGGTCCTAAATTACTGGTTTTGCAACCTTTCATTATTACAATTTGATGCCTGTCACAGTCTATAGCTTGATTGATAACTCCAAGTACATCTAAACTCTCCAAAGTGGGGCTATGAATTCAAATGCTTATTTTTCAAAGGGATTAAAGAAAGTTAAACATAGTGAATGAGGCTTTATCTGCATGTTTCTTAAATAGTGAATATATTGATAGACACATAGAAACTTTATTTCATCTCAGCATGCATCCCAAGGTCACAGTGGCTCGGTATTTAGCATAGCTGCCTCATAACACTATGGATCCAGGTTCAATTCCACCCTCATGCAACTGTCTGTGTGGAGTTTGCACATTCTCCCCTTGTCTGCATGGGTTTCCTCTGGTGCTCTAGTTTCCTCCACAGTCCAAAGATGTGCAGGTTAGATGGACTGGCCATGAGGAATGCAGGGTTACAGGGATAGAGGGAGTCTAAGTGAGATGTTCTTCAGAATGTCAATGTGGACTTAAACAAGGTTGCTGGAAAAGCTCAGCAGGTCTGGCAGCATCTGTGAAGGAGAAAACAGAGTTAATGTTTTAACGTTTCAGGTCTGATGACCCTTCCTCAGAACTGCTGAATGGCCTGCTCCCACATTGTAGGGATTCTATATTGGGAGAGTTGTCATGATAGCTGTAGGGGAAGAAAATGGAGGGATCAGGCATTATAATGAGTTAGCACTACATTGGAATACGTGTTACAAAGGGACATAGTACAGGGAGAGGGGCACCGGTTGGCATGGCAAGTATGTGACCATGGGACTGATGTACAGCAGCACAGATCAGTATAGAGAGTACGAGGGGCCATTGGGTACGGGTGAGGGAATAAATTAGCATGAATAGGGGATGAGGGCTTTTTCTGTTTTATTATTTCTGAGCACCTCTGTTGGCTTTGTCATCTCATCTGTGTACTCAGCCAACCTCTGGTCTCCTTCTGTTGTCACCTTCCCTCTCCCAGAACAAAATTTCAATCTTCCTCTGCATTTTTCCCAAGCCAGATTTACCGAGGCCTCTAAGTCTGGAATAGGAAGATTGTGCTTGATTTTAACATGAAATTTGACATACAGGATAATTTTGGATAACTGTTATTCCTTTTCCCACTTAATGTTGTTCCCCACTGGGATTCATGAACGGTCCTACTGCTTCTTTGTCTTATCAATTGCTATAAATATCTTACCGCTGCCCTATGCATAAAAAAAAATTTGCAAAAAGCTTCAGCTTCTGACATTTCCTAATTCCTACAGTAATTTTGGGCAATCATACTACAGACTAGCTTTAGCAACACTATGGAGAATCCAATATCATTTATGAAAAATCATTCAAACTGCATATTCCATACCCTGCAACATTAATTCTATTTTCTACATCATTGCTTCTGACCAGTTTCCTATCGCATATACACAAAAATTAATGTGAAGCAAATGCTAAATTTATCAACTGAAAATTGACCATCGAGGACTGAACTGCCTCTGAAGCAAGGCACAGTGTGATTTCCACTTCTGATGTCTCATGCTTCATCTTGGTATCAAATCAAACCATGAGACCATGCTCTGGAGTCAGTTATCCTGTAACAGCAGAATCAATGAGAAGTAAATTTGCTTTAAACTAATACTACAGCAATAATGTGAAAGCACAGATCTTTCTTATATTCATCATGCCCCCTGTTCTCCTTCTAGAAAGACACCATTATTAACTCCTTTCTCTACTCTCCTTTTTGTAAATTGTTAAAACAACTGTAATAGATTATTTTAAATATTCATTACTCCTTCTGCCTTTACCAACATGATATAATCCAGCCGCTAGAATTTTCATTAATTTCTCCAGCATGCACCTTCATAAAATTGATACTCCTGCTGTACTTCTAGCCTTCTTTACTGCATGTTTTACTTTCAAGTCAGCAATATGTAACTTTGGTTTTGGTCCCATAACCTCACCACTATAGAGACTTCTCTAACATTTGAATCAAACAGATCAGTCATGCCCATAAACACGGTAGCATTATTTCATAAAATACAGTGGTGTGATTTGCTTTTTCAGTTAAACATCCTGGGGAGATTTATTTAGCATTACCAGCAGGGGGCATTCAAACTGTAAGTCAATTAAAGGAGAATGATTTTAGTCAGATCTGCCATTTTCAGAATCCCCTCCAAGAACCAATAATCATGACACATGAAACAGATGCATCCTATTCTTAAATTGAAGCATGCCATACTTACATATCCCAATTTGGAGCTGCGCGCAGTTGTTGTGTTAACACTGGAAACTGGAAATAAACGCACAACAAGCACTTTTTGAATATTTGTTTCATATGGTGATCCTGAGCAGTGTTTAAACTCTGAAATATTTATATACAGTATACATGAACGTAGACTGCTTACAACAATATTTGTCATCTGATATTTATGATTAAGGTCAGAAACGTTTCACTATTTTCTAGACAGGCTGCAAAGTGGCTATTACTATGACCTAAAATGTAATAATTCCACATTGATTTAAACATTTATTTTTATGAGTTTACCATCAGTTTATAACCTATTTAGTGCATTTTAGCAGTTCCACACACAAGTCACTCTCCACTTCCAACTGGGCAAACAAATACTCTCAGTAACAACAGATATGCTGCCATGAGGTCCCAAATCAATGAATCCCACCAACAATCATCCAAAAAAAAGTTGAATTCAGGTCCTAGAAATAAAACTGAACAGTTAAATGTATCAGCTAAATAGCAATGCTTTTATGAAGAATATTCTCATAAAAACTTTAGAAAATAATGATTTATTTTATTTAGAGGTATACGCATTAAAGGAATTTTGCATAATTTTTTTCACAATCATGTAAAATGAAGGGGACACAGTGATGCATTTTAATGCATGTGAAATCACTGCACTGCATTGTTATGAAACCAAAAAAAAAAATGTTGGCCACTTTTTCTGATGACATCCAGTAATTCATTAATTCTCCTGAGAATATCTTCGTTCCTAGCTAGGCAATAAATACTGTTAGGTAAAAGGTCTAACCTAAGCAATAACAAAATTAACATATAAAACAATAACAACTTTAATGCAGTCACATGTCCAAAGGCACTTGACAGGCGTGAGCACACAAAATTTGACCCTGCACCATGTAAGGATATCCAAAGGCAGACAACCGAAAGCTTGATCAAAGACAAAGGTTTTAAACTGATTCTTATAGAAGGAGAGACAGGCTAGATGTTTAGAGTGGGATTTCAATGACCATTTCAACTTACTGCACAGCCGCCAATGATGAAGCCATGCAACACAAGGATATTTATGAGGCCAGAACTGAAAGAGTACAGTGAACTTTCCAGGTAGACATGGTAATAAAGATATGGAGAAGCAAGACTGCCATGGAAAACATGAAAACATTAAAACAAGAATGAGAATTCTACAATCAAGGCTTCATTTGCACAGGAGCTAATGTAGTTCTGCACACAGAACAATAGTGGGTGAACTTTTTGAGTGTGTTACGGCAAGAAGGGTTGTGCATTACATTACGTTTACGAATCGTAGAAAGTAAGAGGCAAGAAAGCCTTGTAATAAACAAGCCTAAAGTGGACCAAAATGTGGATGAACTAAAGTACAGATACAGTCAAGCAATGTTGGAGATAAAAATAGGCAGACTTTGTGATGGTGTATATATGTCGTTAGTGCCTCATCTCAGGTTCAAATATGTTGAAAGGGTTGAGAACAGTCTGGTTCAGTCTCAGACCATTGTCAGGGAGAAGAGTATAGTTATTTGCAAGGGAATTGACAATGTTTTGATCTTCCCAATATCTACTGCATGAAACTGCTGCTCATCTAGTACTGGATAGCAGTCATGCAGTGTGACAATTTAAAAGCAGTGTGGTATGTCAAGAGTGTTGATGGAGAGGTAAAGCTAGGCATTGTTACCATACCTCCGAAAACTAATGATGTGCTGTTGGATAATGTCACTGAGAGCCAAAATAGAGATGAGATGCCTGGGTAACTGTAATTTCAACAACACTCAAGAAACTCGATATCATCCAAGACAGAGTAGTTTATTTGATTGGCATCTCACCCAACACTTCAAAATTCACTCCCTCATCCACCAATGCACACTGGCAGCAGTGTGTACCATCCAAAAGATGCACTGCAGCAACTTGCTAGTGGTTCTTCAGCAGCACCTTCCAAACCCACAACTTTGATACCAAGAATGACAAGGGCAGCAGATGCATAAGAACACCTACACCTGCAGGTTACCACACCTTCAGGTCACACATCATCCTGACTTGAATTTTATTGCCGTTCCTTCACTGTCACAGGGTCATAATTTTTAAACTCCTGTTCAAACAGCACTGCTGGTGTACATAATCCCTATGAATTGCAGTGGTTCAAGCAGCTTCCCACCACTTTCTCAAAAGAAATAGGGATGGGCAATAAATGTTAACCTAGCCAGCAACACCTATGTCCTATTGATATTTAAAACAAGAGGGAGCAAGAATAGATCCAGTAATATGATATTCAATCTATCAAATCTGCACAAAAAATGGTGATTTAGTTATCTTTAGATGATAATTACCAGTAGAACACTGACTCCTTAATCAACTTAGCCTCATGTGTGCAACTTAGGTTCAGACAGGTATTACAATTTCAGGTTGTCAACATAACCATCTTCTTTTAGAGCAGTGTCGCAACACTTGCGCTAAGTTAACCGCAATCTCAATAAGTAGGAAGGTGTAAATATCTTCAACAACATTTATGCACACGATCAGCAATTATTTCGCTTGCAGTAATCCGTTTACATGATTTAACATAAGTCAATTTTACAGTAATCTGATTGTGGCATTCACTTGGCATTTTCTAAGCCGTTGGTCTTCCACTGCATCAAACAGTAAACCCAGCATCTGCCAGACTGATGCAGGCTGGGAAGTTTGTTTAAAGGGCATCAGAGCACTGCTATTCAAAGAACAGATACAGTTGTAACAGCCGAAGGACCAAATTTAAAAGTAATTCACATAATTTTTCCTCAGAAATCTTCTGGAAATTCTTTTATTTGGAATGAAACATAACATCCCTATTTCTTTTGAGAAAGTGGTGGGAAGCTACTTGAACCACTGCAATTCATAGGGATTATGTACACCAGCAGTGCTGTTTGAACAGGAGTTTAAAAATTATGACCCTGTGACAGTGAAGGAACTGCAATATAATTCAAGTCAGAATGATGTGTGACCTGAAGGTGTGGTAACTGCAGGTGTAGGTGTTCTTATGCATCTGCTGCCCTTGTCATTCTTGGTATCAAGGTTGTGGGTTTGGAAGGTGCTGCTGAAGAACCACTAGCAAGTTGCTGCAGTGCATCTTTTGGATGGTACACACTGCTGCCAGTGTGCATTGGTGGATGAGGGAGTGAATTTTGAAGTGTTGGGTGAGGTGCCAATCAAATAAACTACTCTGTCTTGGATGATATCGAGTTTCTTGAGTGTTGTTGGAGTTGCAGTTACCCAGGCACAAAAATGCAAACAAAGCAGAACATACGAAAACATTCATATGATGAACAACAACTTGCATTTTTATAGTACTTTAAAGTAATACAAGATTCCAAGTTACTTTACAGGAGCGTCAAATAAAATCAAATAAATTTGACACAGAGTTTTATATGGAGGTATGAGAGCAGGTGACAAAAACTTTGTCAGAAATAGGTATTAAGAAGAATCTTTAAGGAAAAAGGAATAGTAGCAAAATAGAGCTAGAAAAAAACAGTCACGGATGAAGGTTCCAGAAACAGATGAGCTGTGCTGGGGTGAAATTGGGCAACATTTTGGACGTCGAAGTGACTGTGTTGGTGTTGGATCAGATAATGGTTGAAAGAAAATCTTTAGGTCAGCTTTCAGACCAAGGTTGTCAGCAATGTGGTTCACTTGCCAAGCGAAGGGATCATGTCAGCGGCAAGGGAAAGGACTCGGTGACTGAGTCAGAGACAATGACCTCAGTATCCCCAGTGTTTAGCTGTAGGAAATTTCTGTTTATCCTGTAATGACAGTCAGACAAAAACTGACAAATTAGAAGCAGTGAAGGGGTCAAGGGAGATAGTGATAAGGCAGAGCTGGGTGTTGTCAGTGTAAATGCAGGATCTGTCATTGCGTCTTTGGATGATGTTGCCAAGGGGTGACACATAGATGTGAAGTAGCAGAGGCCAAGGACTGATTCTTGGAGGACACTAGAAGAATAAAATTGGTGGGATATTAGGAAAATGTTTCCATTCACCATCTCTTTAAATTTTTACAATAGCCTTCATGGATTAGAGAGGAAAGTTTCTCCCCTGTTGATAAAGTCATAGAGTTGTACATAATGGAAACAGACCCTTTCATCCAACTCGTACATACCAATCAAGTTTTCCAACCTAAACTAGTCCCATTTCCCTCTAACCCTTTCCTATTTGTGTACTTGTCCAAATGTCTTTTAGATGTTATAACTGTACCTGCATGGGCCACTTTCTCTGGCAGGTCGCTCTACATATGAACCACCCTCTGTGTGAAAAGGTTGCCCCTCAGGTTCTCTTTAAATCCCTCTCCTGTCACCTTAAAAATATGCCCTCTAGTTTTGAACTCCTCTACCCTAGGGAAAAGACCTTTTATTCACATTATCTATATCCCTCATGATTTTATAAACCTCGATAAAGGTCATCCCTCAACCTCCCATGGTCCAGAGAAAAAAGTTCCAGCCTAACCAGCCTCAAAACCTCCAGTCCTGAAAACACCCTCATAAATCTTTTCCCCATCCTCTGCAATTTAATAATATCCTTCCTATACCAGGGCGACCAGAACTGTATACAGTACTCTAAAAATGGCCTCACCAATGTCCTGTGCAACCACAACATGATGTCCCAACTCCTATACTCAATGATCTGAGCAATGAAGGCAAGCATACTATATGCCTTCTTTACCAGCCTGTTTACCTTTGACGCAACTTTCAAAGAACTATGTATCTGAAGCCCTAGATCTCTCTGTTCCTATATTAGGTTTTAAACTTAAAAGGATCCATCAACCAAGTTTCTTAATAATAAATTATGATTTTATTATTTAATCAAAACTTACCCAGTAAGGATGCAGTAATTAATTAACTTACAGTCAGTAATATAGAAGAATTTACACCTACAAACATCCAAGATCTTCAGGTTTTTATCAAAGGGGTTCTTTTTAATCTCACCAAGAAATTGCATGGTCGACTGATAGAAAGAAGATGGACAGGCTAACAAGATAACAAAGTGTGAAGCTGGAGGAAGGGT